TCTCTCTCTCTCTCTCTCTCTCTCTCTCTCTCTCTCTCTCTCTCTCTCGGTTTTCTGAGCCAGGGTATCCCTATGTAGTTCAGGCTGGCCTTGAACTCATGGTGATCATCCTGTCTTAGCCTCCCAAGTGTGAGGGTTAGAAGCACACACCACTACGCCTGGCCTGGAACTTTCAAATAATATATGTACTGCTAGTCATAACAAAACAACCTGATTTGGGGTGGCATTTCACTGACATAAAACCCATCTTATCTGAGACCCATGACAATTCTTTGAGATAGATTTTTTTCTTCATCTGTGAAAGGAGGCAATTAAAGATTTTTAAGTATGTGTGTTAGAATTTTATTGGTTTTTTTGTTTGTTTGTTTGTTTGTTTTTTTGTTGGTTGGTTGGTTTTGTTTGTTTTGTATTGCTTTGTTTTGTTTTTTGTACTAGGGATTCAACTCAGGGCCTTGTGCTCACCGGGCAGGCACTTATGCCACTGAGCTATCTCCCCAGCTCTACTGGTTTTAACAAAAATATCTCAAAAACGAGGCAGGGTCAGGCAGAAGGCAAATGGAGAGCCAGATCTTTCACCCTAATGCCAAGTCACAGACCATCCATCATGTCTGATATTTAGGGTACATGAGTAAATTAATCAATCAATCAATCTTTCTCATGGTACTAGGGATTGAACTTGGGACCCTGCATTTGCCAGGCAGGCACTTGTGCCACTGACCTATCTCCCTGGCCCTTAAATCTTTTTTTTGAAGGTTTACATACTTTAGATGATCTCTACATTTTTTTTTTCAGCTTCTACTTTACAGATGAGACAACTAAGACACAAAGATAAATAATTTCCTAGACATCATCAAACAGGTAAATACAAAGGACTTAGGTGAATTTAAATCTGGTGCTTACTTAAAATACTTTATAAATATGAGCCTTCTAAAAAGTTGTAATGTTGAGAAGGAAACACATAGGGATAAAAAGGTAGCTCATTTCATTTTTAATTTAATTTTGATATATTTTTCAAATATAAATATGAAAAAGAAATAAAAATGTTCACCTCTTCTGGAAATTCTTCACTGACCAGAGACATAATCAGTGATGTCTTCCCAACTCTAGCTGTGAAAAGAAAAACCATTACTTTAATAATGTGTTTAGGTTCTACATAAGCTCAAACCTAGCAACCATAAGGGAAGTCTGTCACTTGTTAACGAAAACCAAAGGCATCCAAATTTGGTACAGTATTTTAAAGTACACATAACATTTTTTGTTTTTGTTTTTGTGGAACCAGGGATTGAACTTGGGCCCTTGAGCTTGCCAGGCAAGCGCTTATTCCCCTGAGCCATCTCCCCAGCCCCCGCACATAACCTTTTTAAAAACACCAATAATAAGCCCATTTCATTTGCATCGCTTCCCCTGCCTCAGCCTCCTGAGTGCTAGCATTATAGGTGTGTGCCTCAATAGTCAGCTGTACTTTTTTATTTAATCTTATCTTGTAACAACAAATTTCAGGATTGTTCCTTTTCACTTTTATAAATAATGCTATTACTTACGTTTTTCTTTCCTATTGAAAATCAAACTCAGGACCTTGGGCTTACCAGGCAGGTGCTGTGCCACTAAACTATATCCCAGCCCATGCTATTTCTATAGGACAAATTTCTAGAAGTAAAACTCAAGTTATCACTCACCTTCTTTTTTAACAGGTACTAAGTTACCTCCAAAAAATAATATATCAATTAATATCCTCAACAGACTATCAGAGTGCTGTACCTCTGTATCTCTGGGTTTTTTTTTTTTCTTTTTTAAGAATATTACATTGATTTTTATTTAAAAGGTTAGTAACAAGTTAAAAAACAAAGAAAGGAGGCTAGGGAGATAACTCTGTGGCACAGCACCTACATAACAAGTGCAAGGTCCTGAGTTCATTCCCAGTCAAAAAAAAAAAAAAAAAAAAAAAAAAGGCTGTTCCTGCTAATTTTATTTTATTTTATTTTTTGGTCTTTTTGTGACAGGGTCTCACTATGCAATTTAGGCCAGCCTCAGGCTCACTTTACAGCCCAGGCTGGTCTTGAACTCACAATGATTCTCCTGCCTCTGCCTCCGAGTGCTAGGATTACAGGCACGAGCCACTACATCCAACCTACATTTTCTATTCTAGCCATTTTTAATACACAAGCCATTTAAAAAATCAAACTTTTTACTAAAATTTGACAACTAAGCCAGGTGTGGTGGCACATGCCTGTAATGCCAGCATTCAGAAAGATTGAAGTAGGAGGACTGCTTCAAGTTCAAGGCTAGCCTGGGCTACAAATTGAGTTGAAGGCAAGCTTGAACTACATAGCAAGATCCTGTCTCAAAAAGGCCAAAAATAAATAAATAAATAAATAAATAAATAAATAAATAAAATTTGACTATTTCCATGTTCTGATAATATAATTACTATTATTATTCAAGTGTTTATCAACTAAATTCTTTTGTACTCCTAGGAAAAAAGTCCACTTTCTGTTCGTCCCTGCCACAGTAGCAATTTACAGTTTTTAAAAGTACAGTCTAAATATGAAAAAATGCAAATTTTTAGGGTAAAGGACAATCACAGTTCCTTCCTAAATGACTAAAAGAAAGGGTGAACTAAAAACACTAGTGAACTGACACAGGATCTATAAACTGCAGTACAGGGTTTCAGGATAAATCCTGAGGGGATTTGATTGACCTTAGCAGATACAAAAGCTACATTTCTTGTTATATAGGTCTTGCTTTATAGTGGTCATAACCATCCAGCAGAAAAGTATAAAAACAAAGTATAAAAAGTAAAGCCATTTTAATATGCTGAGCTGTGAAAGGCTCAAGTCAACAACTTTTGACATTGCCAATCCTACAGAAAACCCACTATTATGGACTACTGGACTATATTGGAATATTTTGCTGAATTCACACACCTACAATATTTAAATAGCAATGGAATACCCTTCTCTGACAAAACTAAACAAAAAAAGGGGATACAAATGAATGACCATTTTGTATCTGTGTATTCAAAATAGGATATACAGCTACTTTCTCTTAAATAGAAAAATTTGTTCTAATAGTATCTGTGGACAGGATATCATATCTGCATCTTGTACAATGAATAACCACTAAGACAACAATATGCAATGCATTATTGTAACTGTTCTACTGATTGGTTTTGAAACTGTCTCACTGCTCTTTGTTTCTCAATAAAATTTTTAAAAAAGGGAAAAAAACAACTAGTGAAGTCTCTGACAAAATAATGAATGGCCAAGACACAGCAAGGAGGGTACTGGTCCAAACAAGGTTGAGGCTGTGCTTTGAACAACTCAGTGCTGCTGGCGCAGGGAAAGATGAGGTGGTAAACAGGTGTCTTCTCACTGATTTCCATGGACCTTTTCAAGGGACTTTGTGAGAAGGCTTGGGCATGTTTCAGGTGGCTGATAACAAGGTAATATTTCAGAGTTCTGATGGCATCTGCCACCATAACAGAATTGTTAGACCTAATGAACAATGTAAGCTTATTTAGCTCTCTGCAAAATTATGAAATGATTTTTTTTTTTTTTTTTTTTTTTGTATTTTAGGTAAGGGTCTACAGGGTGTTCAGGCTCTCACTACTAGATCAGATTCTAGTGATCCACCTGTTTATAGTCTCTCAAGAACTGGGATTATAGGAGTGTGTCACCACACCCAGTCTCAATTGTCGTCTCAGCACGCCCCAGGGGTGGGGCCAGTATGGCAGGCCTGGGATCGAACCCCCAGCCCCTGTGCCTGCCTGCAGGTACTTTAATCTGCTAAACTATTTGGATGGCCCTTACAATGATTTTCTTAAGAGCTCACTGAAAGATTAGTCACATACCTAAAAGAATAACCTATCTCCTGGATCATCACAGTGTTATTTCTAGAGAAAAGAGCTTTAAATAAAAAGTTTATACAGATTAATAATATAGAAAGAAAATGATGACACCTAAAGCCAGCATGTATCACATATACAAATACTTCCTAGGCTATGATGAAAATATTCACAGATTCACTGGTGAGTAATCCAACAGCTCTGGCTCACTTTGACTTTCTTAAAACTTATTTTGAGAAAATCTCACAGACAAACTGGAAAATTAGTATAAAGAATTCATGTGTCTTTACCCAGATTTCCCACAAGTTAACATTTTGACATATTTGTATTATTCTTGTACTGTCTATATGATACAGGCTTATGACTGAGAAAAAGTGTTATCTGAGCATATAATTCCTAAAAGCAAATTCATTCTCTTACACAACTAAAGTATGTTGTCAAGAGTAGTAAATTATCTGGGTGCGGTTGCACAGGCCTATAATCCCAGCTACATAGGAGGTTGAGGAAAATGGACTCCAAATTCAAGGCCAGCCTGGGCTACAAAGTCAATGCAAGGCCAGGTTGACCTGCATAGTGAAATCCTGTCTCAAAAAGAAAGAAAAAAAGTAGGAAACTAACTATTAAATGCAAGATCATTATTATCTAATGTATAAACCAGATTCACCTCTTCCATGTACATGTTATCTTTTATGGAAAAGAAAAATCTTTTTTTTTTTCTGGTCCAGAATCAAATACAGCATTTAATTAATGTCTCCTTCAATTTGAAAGCGCTTCTTCATCTTGTCTTTCATAAATTTAACAATTTTTTAATGTAACATTCTGAGCAGAAATATCCCAGAAGTGACTGTATCCTCAGTGCATTACAGCAAAAAGCAGATGGAGTCAATTTAACTTATGGATAAGGTGGTGTCCACCAATTTTCTTCATAGAAGTTACTATTTTTTCCTTTTGTAACTAATAAGTATCTGGTGAGGAGGTATTTCGAAACTATATAAATGTAAATATTCTACTTCTCATCAAACTTTGGCCTATTAGTTTTGGCACTCATTGGTGATTCTGGCCTGAAACACAACTATAGCTGAAATGGTTGCTGGATAATGATTTTTAACCTCTAGACAATAATGCACTGTACAGGTTACAACCCACAATTGTCATTATTTGGACATTCAAGTTGCTCCATTTTACTTTATTTTTCCCAGTTCTGGGGACTTGCTAGGCAAAAACTCTACCATTGAGTTCCATCCCCAGTCCAAAGTTTTAAAAAAAAATTTTAATTTTTAAAAAAATGTATTTAGTACAGGGTCTATACAGTCTCACTACACAGGTCCAATTCATGTGATTCCCCTATTTTCAGCCTCCCAAGCACTGGGATTACAAGTACACACCACCATGCCCAGCCTCAATCTCGGTCTGAGCAAACCCCAGGGGTGGGGCTGGCATGGCAGGCCAGGGATCAAACCCTGGTCCTGTCATCTGGTTAAGCAGGGGCTTTAACCTGCTAAGCTACCTGGCCGACCATTAAATTTGCTTTTCTTTTTTTTTTTTCTTTTTAATTATTTATTTATTTATTTATTTGTGTGTGTGTGTGTGTGTGTGTGTGGCCTACTCAGCCCACCAGGGGGCGGGGCTGGCTGGCATGTGGTGCCGGGGGACCGAACCACAGTCCCTGTGCTTTGCTAAGCTTGTTCTAAGTAGGTGCTTTAGACCACTGAGCCATCTCACCAGGCCAAATTTGCTTTTCTTTAGAGTAACTGGAGTGACTGGAGAGACAGGGCAATGGCATAAGTGCCTGCCTGGCAAGCACAAGGTCCTGAGCTCAATCCCAGGTACCAAAAAAAAAGACAAATCATGTACGAGTACAAATTCCCTATGATAAATGTGGTCATTATGTATACCTAAAATGTACCAATAACTTAACTAAAAAAAGCAACTGGAAAGCTATGAATAGTAGGTAACTGCTGAGGCAATGAAAAAATCTTAAGTTACTTTGGTCAATTAGTTTTTAGTAAAAATAAATGCTGAAATTTCAACTATTAAAAAAGAGTATAAAGAACACATCTGAACTAAGATATATGTCATGTACAAGTAAAAATTACATGATGTATGTGATCACTGTGTATATCAAAAGTATATCAATAAATTTTTTTCATTTTTAGTTTAATTTTGTTTTGTTTTGTTGAGACAGGGTCTCGCTATGTAGTTCAGCCTGGCCTTGAGCTCACTCTGTAGCCCAGGCTGGTCTTGATCTCGCAACCATCCTCCT